GAAAGCGGGGGGCCCCAGGGTGCCCGCAGCCCCCCCACCCCGGCACGGTGCATGGGAGCCCCTCGGCCCAGCGCTGCGGGGGGGCCGGGGGGCGGAGAAGCCCCTCGGCCCCCTCCTGCCGGGCGGCGCCTTCCCAAAGCATTGGGGTGAAGCAAGGGGAGGGTCAGCCCTCGGCCCCCCCCGGGGTCAGCTCTGCCCAGGGCTCAAGCGGGACACGGGGCCGCTGGGCACCCCGCAGGGCTGCGACCCCGAGGTGGGTCCCCCCGCACCCTGGGGCCAGTCCAGCCCCGCAGAGACCACGGCCACGGGCTGGGCCCCGGGCTCCCGCCACCCACAGCACCCCGTGGGCTCGCTGCCTCCCCCCCGGGAGCAAGGGGGCTGCAACCCCCGGGGGTGAGCCCCCGTCAGCCCCGGCCCTGCATAGCGGGATGGTTACAGGCACGTTCAGAAGCCAGATTTGGGATTTAGCAGAGCCCAGCCCCGCAGGGATGCCCTGGCCCAAGGGGATTAAGGGATTGCAGGGCTCGGGGACCCGTGGCAGGGGAGCCGTGGTTCCTGGAAAGGCAGCAAAGCCCTGGACCCTACAAGGGCACCGAGCGGAGCCGGACGAGCATTGGCTGTGCTGAGCAGGAGGGGGCAGCTGGCAAAAAGGCAGGAAAAAGGTGACATTCTCGCTTGCCCGCCCAAAGGGGTGGCAGGGAGGGAGGGGGCCACAGAGGCACTCCCTGCCTGCTTGCCCCATCCCGCCAGGGCTCTGGCTTGCTCTGCCCTTGGAGCTTGGGGACGGAGTGAGCCCCGTGTCCTATGTCCCCAACTCCAAGCTACGTTCCCAGAAAGTGGAGAAAAGACCCCGGGAAGCCTTTCCCCAGCCGGTGTGGGGGGAGTGAGAAGGGATGGGGCACCCCAGGGATGCTGCCAGCCCCGCCATGCCCCGCCGCGATGGCCGTGCACCCCTGGTCCCACACCCTGGTGCTCGCTCAGCCCAGCGGGAAGCTTCACGCAGGGACAGTGAGGCTGAGCTCTGGAAGATTTGGCTCTCTCCGTACCCCGTGCTCACAGCCCCGCTGCTCCCCACGGGCAGGCAGGCCCGAGGGAGCCCGCAGAGGCCTCTGTGCCACACTTGCTTGCCATGACAGGGGACGCGATGGAGCAAAACCAACTCACCCGAGAGGGGCTGTTTCCCAACGCAGAGATCCACTTGCACTGCCGTTATTCGGTGCTTGGATTCTGCTCAGCTCCTTGGTTGCCCACAGTGGGTCTGGTCCGGGGTCCGGCTACAACCTCACATCCCCCTTGCAGCTTAAACCCCAGGACCCTCCCCGCAGCTCCTCTGCCTGCAGCAGTGCAGCGAGGGCACCTGCAGCATCCCAAGTTTTGCATACACAACCCCTGGCATCTCCCCTACAACTGCAGCAGGAGCTGGGAGAGCATCTGCTTGGGCACACGGCTCCTCGGCCCCCGCGCAGGTCACTTGGGACGGGATGGGTCCATCTACGCTTCGGGCAGGGGACACGAGTGAACAACCCCGCTCTGGCTCCCCAGACCCCCGCTGCGGCCCCGTGCTCCGACAGCAGCACAGATCACCCATCACCTGCAAGCCCCGATCCCAAAGAGGAGGCAGCACACGCCCGTGTCATCTTCAAAATAAAACTTTATTCATTCGGTAACAAGAACATTGAATCTGCACATCAGTGCACAAGTTCACATTTAAAAACAGCTGAGCACATCGGTCATAAAGTCTTTAGGGGGAAAGGGGACGATCCCAGCCACCAAGGAAGATCAGGAGGGCCAGACAGAAGTGCTCCCCTCCCCAGTTTGCAACTCCACCGCCAGCCGTCCCCGAGGGCTCATGGCCCAGCACAGCGTGGCCGGACTGCCCAGCCCCGGGGCGATCCCTACAAACCAGCACATGGACATCACATCTCCATACAGGAAAATAAAAGGCACTGGCACCTGCTTTTGTGCCAACAGAGACGTCTGCAGCGTGGGCAGGCTGTTAGCACCTCTGGCAGCACTGCCGGAGGGTGACCGAGGGCCCTCTGCCCAGCCTGGAGCCCTCCTGCGCCAGGCCAGTGCCCGCCTCTGCCCCACGCCAGCAAGGGCCCGGGGGGTCCCTCCCTTAGGGAGAAGCAAGGGGGGTTGCGTGGCGCTAGGACCAGATTAAGGCAGGACGCACCGCGACGGGAGCAGGGGACCTGCGGCGGGTACGGCTTCCTCCTGCTGCTGGGCCGGGAGAGCTGCGAGGCTCTCGGAGCCCCCGGGCAGGTGCCGTGCCCTGGTGCCCATGCCGATTCCCAGCGTCTCGCTCCTCCCAGAAGGTCCCCGGAGCAGCCGGAGCTGGGGTGGGATACTTTCCACTGGGCCTTTGCTGGCAGAGGGACACGGAGCTAATCCCTGCCCTGTTCAACATCCAAGTAAGCCAGAAGCGGCGTCACCTCCTGACCCCCCTGCCACCCGCTGGGACCGTGCCCCTGGGAAAGGGCCGAAAGGGGAGAGATTTGTACAGGTCACAACTTCTCAAGCAGACCGCACACACGCACACACACCATTGAGTGCAACAGAACGCAGTGTAAAAACCAGTTTCACGCACACGCTATCCGTTTGTGCAAGGCTCACACGTTACAGTA